GCGTGGCATTGGGACAATTAAGGCACTAGTATAGTGCTTTGGACGTTGGGTAGATTACACTTCCCTGCCTTTTTCATATACTGCAGCGGGAGAATCTCGCTAATGCTATGTTCCTTATACTAAGCTTGCTTGGATGAAAAAAAAAATGGCGTGTCAATATAACACTTTTGGCTTATGATTGCCTGAAACGAAAAGCATATTTTTTAGAAACCCATGGGGTGTAAATTGGTGGGGCTAGGGGTGTAAATTCATCGGGAACATACAGAAGGCCACATGGTGTGGTAGGTTCCCATCCCAGTAAAGTGCTGTGCAGTATAGAATTCATTAACCAAAAAGTGACAGCTCACAAATTAGGATGTTGGAAAGTTGCAAAATCATAATACAGATTTGTACAAAGATGGAGTTAAATGAACTCAGGAGTGCGTAGTTGTTCACATAAAAGTCAACAGGGAAGCCTTTGTATAAACTGATTTTTTTTCTGCTCATAATATATGACCAGCAAATAGTTGAAGCAATGGATTTGGGACAGGCGGGCAATCCTTAAGAACAATGATGGTCGAAGTGGCCAGGTGTGTGAAGAGAAAGCAAAACCACCGAACGTCACCAACGCTAAAAGATAACCTGTATGGGTGTTTTGTACTGGTATAGAATGAAGCGATTTTAGCGTTCTACAAACTCCTATTTCGCATGCCAAAAGTCTATAGAACACTTAGATTCCACCGCCAGATCCACTCCTGCTGTAGCGAAGGGAGCCGTCCCATAAACACTAGAGAACAAGAGGAACGACGCCACAGACGCGCGCTCCCCAATGCGCGTCGCTCTTTCAAAGATCGCTTTGATCATGGCTATGGCGCCGACAAAACCACGAGGCAGAATAAACCCGGGGTGCTCCTCGCTTCGAAGACCCCTCACCGCGCCATTCAAGCGCGCGCCGCTCCTTTGTGACCATCGCGCGCGGCGGGCGACACGGGCAATGATGTAACGCGAGAGCAGCCCGCCACACAGAGGGGCTGTGCCGTGTTGGAGGAGACCAGAACGTCCCGAGGCGAGGCGGGGTGTCGACAGCCACAGACCGGCAGCGGCAGGTCGGCAGCGGTGCGGCACCTTGATTCCTCGCGGTGCCCACCCTTCTTCTCAGAATGGCAGACAGGTGACGCCACATAGCCACAGTTGCTGAGAACGTCGTAAAGCTCGCGTGGCCGTTGACGCCCAAACGATTTGGGAGCGTGGCCTGCGCAGCCCGCTACATTGCGCTCTGGGGATCAAAGCTTTGGGGGATCTTGAGCGATTCCAAGTTTGCCATCGGTTCCCAGTTTGCTAACAGTAGGTGAGCGTTTTCGAAGGCGTGGCCTAGAAGCAGCGGATGGATGCTGGTAGAAACTTCAAAATACGCGACTGGAGGAAATAGATCATATGCTGCTTTGGGTGATCAGAAATGCCCCATGGCAAAACAGAACATATTTCTTAATCACAATCGTTCCTTTATTTTTAGCTGCTGATTTCAACGCGACGGTACAAATCGTTCCAATATTCAACTCAAGGAATTTAGATTCACCAAACTTCACAGCTGTAACATAATGCTTTAAGGGATTGGAGCGATCCCTAAAATCGCCGCGTTGAATACAGGGAAACCTACGGAAATTAAAACTTGCCTGAGTTGAAACGTTGTTTTAGAAGCGATTTTTGACACATATAGCAAGAAATATTTAACATACTCTTGGGATGCGAACCTAGTAAGGAGACCAAGGCTGAAAAACTGAGTTAAATGCCCATGAAATTACGACGTATTGTCCTGCGTGGGGCTTTTCTGCAAAGGCTGAACTTTAACGTGTATGTGTCGGATGTTAAACGTCACTACCATTCTGATGTATTGATCTTTCCTCACCGCGTCCCGAAGCAAGCAGTTGCGAAAGTGTTGCAAAGGGAAGAACGGAAGCCTGGAAAGGAAACTTTTCTTCAGAATCAGGAGATGCAACAGGTTTCCAAGTAATACGTAATTACTGAAGTCATCAATAAACTCTTCCTTGATAAGCAGTGGTGTAGTCACGGAGGGGCTTATGGGGCAATGCCTCCCCTCCCCCTCCCCCCCCCCGTGGAGGTAGCGGGAACCCCTGGGCTGAAACTCTAGGATGTTTGACAGCATATTACATCTTAGGGCTTCCAAAGCACAATAAACAGACCCTCGAGGCATTAAAATGCAAACCTGGCTTAAAAAGGTCCCCTGAATCGAGAAACGGTAAGCTCCTTGGCTGAAATGGCCCCAGAGGTCTCAATTGAGCCCCCTCCCTGATGAAGCCCTTGCTATACTACTGTTAAAAGATGACACCATGCGTGGTGGCGGCCAGCGATGCATCCTGCGCAGCCTACAGCTCCAGCTGGCAGCACATACTGCTTCTTTGAAGGCGAAGACCGAAGACTGTATGTCTTCATTAGTATGTCTGTCTTATCTCCGCTCCCGCTCCCGCTCCGGCTGCCGCCGCCGCTCCGTCTCTCGACTCTGGACGGAGTGACCTGACCTGACCCGTGTCGTGCAGTCTCGCCGCGCGTGTTGACCCTGTCACCGCTTCACTTGCGTCTCGAGCCATGCCGTCGCGCAACTCAAGACAGCGTGGGAAGGTCGCGCTGTTCTCCCACCACGCGGCTTCAAAGGCTGCGCGTGAGGGGAATAAGTGCCGGCCTCACGCCAGCCGTGCAACGGTGCCACCTGCGTCACCGAGTGGGGACATGGCGTGACCTTTGGCCCTGCACGACGCCATTTTCTTCGCAGCGGCGGCGGGAGAAGGTGCTCCCACTGCGCTACAAGCACCGAGCTCGGCTACTACGGGCTGCGCTATAACTGGGGCTTGAGGAATCACCATTACCGTATGTAGGCTGTCTCTCACCATTGAGGACAAAGGAGCTGAGTCCGACCAGGCTGGCCTTGCCTGCGCTCCGTGCCGGGGGCTCAAATGACTGCTCACATCGCGCGGAATGCATGCGCCCCTCCCTCATCCGCAGTGCTCACGCGGTGATAGAACGGTGGCGCCATTAAATGTCGCCCAGCTCTAGCACTGCGCGTGACGCGCATGCCCTCGGCAGTCCGAGCGCCGCCGCACGGACAAAGAGCCGACCCGGCGGCTCTATTTCCGTCTCGTCGGCCCGTGAGGTATTGACGGGGACGACGTCCTTTCAGCGGGTTTTGCGGAAGCCCCGACCCTCCGAAGCTTTAACGGGCTCCATTCGGCTACATCAGGCCGTTCGAAGGTAATTTACTGGCGCCAGCCATTCGCAGTGAGGCGCCGCAAGGCATGAGATTGGGTCCCCAAGGTAAACCAGCGCTCAATACTATTTGCGAAGTAAAGTAACTATCCTTAGCTCAGATCATACACTTAAGGCCCAAAAAGTTATTTTTCCATCTTAATAAAATCGAAGGTCATTTCTCATGCTTTACATTCATCTAAGCTATGTTCAAAACCATATCTGAACTGCAATGGACCATTGCATTTATGTATTGAAATGCATCAAATACATCATCCACAGTGCTCACATCCTAGTGCTACATTCAGTGCTTCTTCCCGTCAATACTTCCAGTGCCAACTTCCAAATGCCTCGCAGTTTCCCACTAGGGAAGCACGAATGTTTTGCCAAAAGCTACAAGACGGTACCCATGCTACCCATAATTTCTGTTTTGGCATTTCATGATCGACTGCCACGCATAACAGCGGGGGCATTCATTGCATGTGTGCTAACAAACAGCGCAAGCGTTGACCGACTGACTGAGGCTGATCATGCTTCGTTTTTATTTCAGGGTCAGAGTGTGAGGCACAAGTACAAGATGGGATGATGCGGCTAGCTTATGGACTTAGAGTGGTTTGTTTGGTAAGTTAAGCGTGGGCGCGGCAAATCTGCCCAAATCGGTCCGACCCTACCCTCCTGGCGCGACACGAGGCTCATTCATTTCCACCTGACGGTCGCGAGAGCCAGAAAAAGGCGCACCGATCGCTGTGGCCATCTGCGGTTGATGAGCTTAGCGGCCACGAGCGGATAACCAGCAACAAGTCGTGTCTTATCTCTCGGAAACGTTCTTATTTGTGTGCTAAGCTGACGGGAATTAGAGGACTAATGTCACATGTCGTACATGGTTCTTTGTATTGGCTTTCCACATTTAGGTATTAAAACGGACCGAGTAATTGCCATTCAGTCGTCACTAGAGGACCGATCCAAGTGAAGCGCTTTAGGTATTTTTGGAACCGTAAATATTGGTTCTTGCTACCCATCGTCCAACAGAGATCGTCGTTAACGCCCACATGTGTCTGTTGATTGTGTGCTTCCTACAACTACTATGTGCCCTATTAAAGTGTTAAAAACAGTGTAGTTCAGTGTCATTTTGATAACGTGCCGCCGACACTTAAATGAAAGACTGTGGCGATAGGAGACAAGCTGTCACATACCGGACCAACGAGGACACGTGTGGGGGCATTTCTCTCTGAACAATTTCAAACAAAGGATCGAACTCCCGTTTCACTACAGATTTAATAGGCTATCCTTTCGTAGAATACCGTGCGGACACAAACACCCGCTCACACACACACGTGTCTGACCACTATCCTCCTGACGTTCGTGTCTGGGCCGCCCGCAGAGGACACGCCAGCATGTAGCGCGCTGCAATCTGCATCAAACGGCGCCCTAACGAGGCGCGCTACAACCGCCGCCCTGCTCGCGGCACGAGCCACGGCGGCGCCGACCAATCAGCGAGGCGCCGTCGGAGACCGAGCCCGGCGAGGCAGCGGGCCGCCGGGCCGGGCGCACTGCCGGCGGTGCGCCAGTACAGCGGTGCCGACGGCAGCGGTGGAGACACGCGCCCAGATGCGAGCGAGCAGCGACGGGCGGCGCCACAGTGAGCGGGTCGCGGCGGTGGGCGACGGTGGCGGCCCGCGTCGGCGGAGATGTAGGCACATCTGAGCGCGCAGCAGACCGATGGAGCGCGTGCGACTGTTCGCCGCCTGCGCGGGGCTCCTGTTTCCTGCTGCTACGCCAACTATGGGTCGTGGATGTGAGTACCGCGTGCGGCGACGCCGGGCGCCAGCGGGGGCCTTCCGCTCATCAAGCGGACAGCTGGTGAGCCCGCGAGCTGTGACGGCAAATACGACCCTTAGCTCACCGCGCCGAGAACTGCAACAGGAGGCGGTATAACACAGCGATCCTGCAGGCAGCCCACACCGTCTGACTGACGCCCGCCGCCATCATCCGCTCTTCAAAGCTGCCGCGCGTTCGTGCGTCCGTGCGCAGCCGTCTGGCGCTCTGCACAGCGAGCGTGCCACCACCGTGAGCGCGCCGGCCTCTCGGCCCGCCTCTCAATCAGAAACAGTGACGTGCACGATGAGTTTGGCCCGGAAAAACAGGCTGCCGATGACAATTGACAAATGGCCGGGTGTCGGGGGCTCCCTTCGGAGTCCGGCCGCCGCGCGCCGGGCTCCAGAGACCCGGCTGATATGTCACGCGGGATTCGTCCTGCGATGGGTCATTTACAGACGCCTGACAGCGCCGGGCGAGCATACAAATGTATTCAGCGCCCAAGATCGGTTCAGATTACACGGCCGGCTTTGTAACGTTTTGATTGATAATCGGCTTCAATACGATGCCTTGCAAAACGTATGTAAAGCGATGTTCGCATTGCGATGCATTTCTAACAAAGGTCTAACAACGGCTTCTTCGCCAAGTATGCATTATAAATTAGTCTTATCTCATGTGTTCTTGCGAACATCTTAGCAACGGCCATTCGACGACATGCATTGCCAAAATGGTGCCTTATTGCGCCTTGCGGGAAAGAACATCGTAGCAAGCGTGCCGGTAGCAAGCAAATGTCACAGGTTGCCTAGCCATGCCTCCTTTCCCTCAGCTGGGACCATGTGCAGGGACAGGGCCTCCGCTCCTACCGCTGCCGCCGGCCGCCACCGTCCCAGCACAGTCACGGCGCCGGCCGCGGCCCGGACCGCCTGCATGCCGGCCGCAGCGCCGCAGCAGCGGTGGGCGCTCCGTTTACTGCCCCGTCCCACGGAAGCGACTGGCCGGCGCGGCCGCGTAAAGCGGCTGCTCCGGAGGGTGCGCGACAAGTAACGGCTCCGAGTCAGGCCGCGAGCACGGGGCGTCGGGGCGGCGGCCGGCTCATCGCCGCGGGCGACGGCGCAGGTCACGGCCGGCCGCTGCTCGACAGTGGAACCTGGCGAGGCACGCAGCTGTTGAAGCTGCGTGTGGCGTCGCCCGCCTCTCACCCTGGCAGGAAGGGTAGACACTACCGGTAATCCAACTCCGTACCTCTGGTTTCCTAGACGCGCAGCTTAGCCGGTATACCACCAGTGCCCCGGCGGGCTCGTGGGCCTGGCTGGCCTGCTCTGCCCGTCCCTGACGTGACCCAGCGTGGCTACGAAATGCAACACGTCGCCGCATTTCGGTGTCGAGCCGATGCACCACCGATGCACCATCGATGCACCACCGATGCATATGTTGGTGGTGATCTGGTTGCACCCCGCTGCTGCTATAGACATGAATGCAAGGTTGTCATCGTCGCCTGCAGCCACTATCAGTTTTCTTCATCATTGTTGCATCACACTTACTGGGTATCCGTGCGATGCTTATCCCTCAGCCATCATTTTGTGCCGTCAGTCCGCGCTTTTAGCAGCCAAATGTGACACCGCTGTCACGAGTCATGACGTGGAATCTGATCGGATGCAGTTTGGAGCGCGTTTTGCATCATAAGATGCATACCACAGCTAAGTCGAATTCAAGATGTCCCGAATATACTCAAGACGTACACGGGGCATGCATTTCTCATGGACACGTCATTTTAAAATGATCTATTGACAGCAGAACTATGTTCTCTTACTTCGATTGCAGCAGACCATCAGCATGTTTGAAATACGTTCCCTATGAAAACCCTACAGTGTCACTCAATTGATAATAATAATAGTAATAACAATAACAGATCGGGTTCTTTCGCTTGCGTGGTAGCCAAGTGAGGCAATCACTTGTCTCTTCGTTTGGCGCACGGATTGCGTGCGTTTTGTGCCATGCCTCAAATCACTCACGCTTTCAATACAAGAAGGTTATTTTCACCCCCCAGCCCTGCTGTCAATATCTTTAGAGTCGAACCATATCCGGACATTGCCAGCCACTTTGGCATTCTCAGCAGCGGCCGTGCTATGCATGCTGTCATGCTCTTCATAGCCGCCATTGAAACGAACGGTTGGCACGTAGCGGACTGACAGTGATTCATTAACGACACTGACAACAAACGACACCGCCAGAGGCAGCGCGTTGGTGATGGCATTGTTTCGGATGGTTCATGGGTGGAAACCGATAAGCCATCTCCGTACCCCCTACCCTAGCTGTTATTGGAACCCAGCGAATGCAAATGTTGGCTTTCTTAACTTCCGTGTCTTGTTCAAAAACATTTTTGCTTTTTTGCTTTCCTTCGTACATTTATCCCAGCGTGCCCTCTCGCCTCCTCTCGGCGACCGCATCAGATCGCCGTACGGGCAGGCCGATCCTGTGGTCGCAGTAGTGCCGAGGTGCTTCACGCCCGCGCTATAGCGTCCGTGTGGCCGCCGCGCACGTCTGGAGGACGGCGGTGTGGGCGATCGGCAGAACAGCTCCGCCGGGCTTCTCTGCACGTGCGACGTGCAGGTATTGTTGTCAGCGCTGCGATCGCCTGTGAGGCTGTAGTCACGCTCAGTTTTCAGTCGGCGTGGTCTCAACGCCCCGTCGTATCACGCGTTGCGGCGAAACGAATGCCGTCTTAAATCCAGCGCATTGCGTCGACGAACGTTAGCGACCGCCGTCTGATCGGTAAAGATGCAGCCCGGAGGGAAACAGGGGCGGTTTCAGCTCGATAACATCTTGTTCGTGTTTTATCGGGGCAAAAAAGGTGTTCTCATTAACTTCAGATAACAATAATTAATGTCATTATTCAGGTGCGGACCTGAGTTAAAGAGCTGCATCGCGTGACAGGGCTTCGGTCGGAGCCGGCGGCGGCGGCCGGCGGCCTGCCCTTGTCAGCCGCCCGGTCGAGCGCTCCAGCGAGATGACACGCCGTCCCGCGCCTGAATGACGCTGCAAAGGCACGGCCCTACACCAGGATACGACACAATGCAGTCGCTTTTAACCAGGGCGGCGGCAGCCCGCAGCGACTGACCCGCTAGCTGCCGCTGGGCGGTTTAATTACTTCATGCAAGGTCTGATTTTCGCGGCACGTGCAATCGCACCAAGCTGTACGCGTTAACGGCTCGCTTAGTTTCTGAAGATGACATTTTGAGCTGTCAGGTTCAATTTATCGACATCCTGGTGAGTTGCAGCGCATTACGTCTAGTACAATACCGCAACATAAGTGCTATACAGCTTTCTCCCATTGACTGTGCAGACCGTAAGTCTGTAGTGGTGCGTTTCTCAGAGGAACTTGCACGCCGCGCAGTACCATTGATATACATTAATCCCGCTCCTGATACTCATGTAATCTGACCTAATATCGTAACGTGACACACACATTGCTGGTTGCGGGGGCGGCTTTTGTAACAAAAGCCAGAAAGTTTGTTATCAGCGCAACGGGCGTCTGGATTGCTTAATGCACTACGCTGACAGAGCAGCTATTTATAGGATTACGCGACATTATCGTGACGGCCGAGCTGTCCAGAAAACTGCAACGTCTAGACAAACTTCGCCGCCTGGCTGCGCACCGTCAATGCACTCAGGCCCAGGTTCTTTAATGCCTCCCGCCGCTGCGATACATGCGTTACCTGCGGTCAGAAACGTAATTGCCGCCACAGCGATAAATGCCATTCTGAAATGCGACTTTGTTTATTAAATGGGCAAGGAATGCAGCTCAATCTCAGCTCATGCTGACCGCCGCAGCATGCAAATCCAATCACCGCTGGCCGCGCGGGCACTTTCTAATCCAATACTCGCAGTCGTGCTAAGAGGGATGGCTCGGCTCATGCCGGACCTTGACTGCGGCTAGAGGCCTGACCTTTGTCCCGCTCTGATAAAAGACACGCCAGACACTTCACCTCCGCTGCTCACAGACATGCCCATCAGGCGGCGGCGTCGGCCGGCGCTGTGCCGCCGGTGGGCGAGGCCGCGCCGGGAATGTGAGGCAGGCGGCCGCTTTAGTCAGGCGAGCCGCTCTGGAACGGGCTCCAGCGGGAGATCCGATCCAGTCCCCGAGGGGATTCGGCTGAGTGGCGGCGGGGCGCGGTGGGCGCGCTCTACCAGTCAGATTCGTGGTCGCTGCCCCTGACCCGCCCGCCCTGAGAACAACTCCTGCCGCCTCGTCTCTACACGGCAGCACCGAACTCGGCCGTCGCTATGGCAACGGCCTAGTTTTGCATATCTCACGGCCACATCACGAGACCTCTTCTTGTGGGTTTTCTCGGACCTTGAGATGGAATACTGCCAATGGTGGTCATGCAAGCGCCGGAGATACTGGCCGCCGGTCTGCGTGGCAGCACCGGCGGCGAGACTCTCACGGAGCGGCGGCATTGCGCGCTAACACCAGCCCCGCTAGCGCCCGCGATCGACGCCTGGTGGCTCTGCGACGCCGGCACAGCAACTTCAGCAGTCGGGAATAGCCCACCCGCGGGTAAAGCCACCAGAGCTGATGCACTGGGCGATGGGGCGTACGATGTCACCTGTCAAGAGCGGGACAACGTGGCTGCAGGGCCCGCTGAAACAATCTTGCCACAGTGTGCTTCTTTAGTTACGCGTTGAAGGTCACGATAAAGGTTTTTTGTCTTGAACATGAGACACCATTAGCTCACTGTTAGTGACGTCATTGGATAAAAGACGCGTTGTCGACAGTGACTGCAAAAGCAAAGCGAGTTTGAAGTTATCCGATGAAGATGCATACCATTCATAGGCACTGGATTTTGAGAAGGCGTGCTGTGGGAAAAACGAACTGACACGAGGAACACCTTCGGTGCATGTGATGGCTATTTGTCATTGACTTAAACGGACAGCTTGCTTTTGTCGGTGGGAAGTGTTGGCTTCACCAACTTAGAACTT